CTCCAGAACTGGGAGAGAATAAATTTCTGTTGTTGAAGCCACACAGTGTGTGGTAATTTGTTAGAACCATCCCAGCAAACTCATAGAGAATGTCAGCGAGAAGATCTACTCAGGGCACCCTTCTACGTCATCAATGCAGGCAAGAACACCCGCAAGCTTACCCACCCCAGGGCTGCTGCAGGCATCTAACCAGAATGTGCACGGGAGGGGGACCCCGAAAAAAACCATACAACACTGTAGCACTGGGCTGGTGCTGATGATGGGGAGAGGGAACAGCTCTCTCGAATTCACAGAGGCGTCCCTCTGCTCGGGGACTATTCAGGCCTTGTGTTTCTAGCTCTTTCCTGCTGGTCATCTTACCACCCAGCGGCACCTCCTATCAGAAAGCGTGAAATTCAATTCAGGTCAGCACTTCGACCGGGGCTGAGTAGAGAAAGAAGTTTCACCCATCAGCTAAAATAAGGCCTGGGGATTATCTACGGGTCTCAACTAGCCAAGAGAACAGGTCTCTCCATTACCATAAATAATCGACAGAGGGAATATACGTTCCAAGGCAAATGATACCCTGTGTCCGAGCCACCTTCCCACAGAGAACACCACAACCTGTCCCTCTCTTCGGGGGCACATGGCTGCCACTCCCTACCCCTTCTGGGCAGATAAACCCTGGGACCGATGATGGCCGCGCTGACCTCCAATAGCTGGCAGCATGCAGAATTCTATAGTCTCACAGACTTGAGTTGGATTGGTATGCACGGGTAGCTATAGCCATGACTCAACACCTGCAGAGAAAATGTAGGGTTGTACTCCTCTCCGCAGGCACCGTTTCTGCACTGTTGCGCTGACTCAAAGCACCCTTTGAAGTCCATAGGACCTGTATCAATGAACACTAGGAACCAGGCCCTACGTGCCAATTTCCATCATTCACAAGTACTTCAAAAAGATGAGGCAGAGCAGGAAGTTCAAAAGAATCCGCCCGCAACTGCAGAATGCAATCTCCGAAATTACAGGCAGTGCCTTGTCACACAGGGCACACCAAGCAGGTGCTTTGCAAATGCCTCCTTCTTGCCAAGAAGTCCCTGCCAAGGATTAATAGGAATTTCCAGTTCTCTAAGCATTTCTTGTTCCTCAGAGCGATTACCCCTAAATTTCTAGCACTTCAAAAATACAGGATTTAGCACCTGTTTGTTTCAGAAATACTTGCTAAAAACAGATCTGCCAAAAGGCCACCTCTAAAATTAGTCATATTTCCTGCTCTGCAAAACATAGTAAATCGTATTTTTAGTAACTCCTTCACTCCAGGTATCTGGCACCGTCATGCTCTAAGCATGATCATTGGCAAGTTAGTAAGCAGGCAACCCTTATTCTTAGCCTAAAAATAGTTCTGATGGAAGTGACAAGCAGGCTTATTATTTTTTAACTAAGGGTTAGAACAAGGTACTTCAACATCCTAACCAATCATTTTATATACTCAACTTTGTATCTCAGTGAGACTCAATCACAAAAGAAGGTAACAGTGGCACGGACTGTCTGTTCTTGTTTTGTAGTTTGCCTGCCTACAGTATCTGAGATACGCCTACTCTTTTCTCGATTCAGTTTTTCCAACTATATTTTTTCAACTTTTATCAATTTTTTACAAAACGTAATAACCTGTCATGTGCCAGAGACCATGCCTATCCTGGTTCATAGGATCATGAACCAACACCAGGGTTCCAGCAATTCTCGTGTGTCAGCCATCCAAGCAGCTGGGACTACAGGTGTGTGCCACCACACCCAGCTAATTTTTGTATTTTTAGTAGAGATGGGGTTTCTCCATGTTGGCCAGGCTGGTCTCAAACTCCTGACCTCAAGTGATCCACTGGCCTCAGCCTCCCAAAGTGCTGGGATAACAGGCATGAGCCACCACATCCGGCCACTAAATCAAACTTCTAAGGAATTATCTAAATATATTGCTGATGACAAAGGACCATTGTTTTACTGATTCCTTACAAACATTATTTATAATGTCTGTATTAGAAACATTATACGTGGTTTCTAAGTTGCTTCTATTTTAAGTTTAATGTTTATAGAAATTTAAAATCTTAAACTCTTTTTTTTTTTTTTTGAGATGGAGTCTCATTCTGTCACCCACGCTGGAGTGCAGTGGCACAATCTAGGCTCACTGCAACCTCCACCTCCCAAATTCAAGCAATTCTCCTGCCGCAGCCTCCCAAGTAGCTGGGATTACAGGTGTGCACCACCACACCTGGCTAATTTTTTTGTATTTTTAGTAGAGACAGGGTTTCACCATGTTGGCCAGGCTGATCTAGAACTCCTGACCTCAAGTGATCCACCCACCTTGGCCTCCCAAAGTGTTAGGATTGGCCTTAGTTAGGTAATATCCAAAACTAGAGTGGGGATGGGGACTCATTTTAATTTAGCAATCCTTCTCAGAGTCAAGCATACACACACACAACCATTTTAATCCCTACAATCTGCTAAAACCCAAATCTATTAGTTAAGCATTAACTGTGCTGGATTTGGGGAGATAAATGCTATTAATGACACCATTGTTTCTTTAAAGCCAGCGACTGAGTGAACTAAAATCCAGATTTCTCCCAATGCCTGCAATCCCTGACGCACTGATTCTCCTCGCGGGGGAGAAGCATCCCAGGAAACCAAGTTTTTCCAACACAGACATCTCTCCCCTGCCTCCTTCTCCACCGAAGAACCACCATCCTTAACCACAGTCCATCAATGGGCCCAGGGGAACAATTTCACATCCAATTAACATCTCCTGTCATTGCAACAATCAAGTGAGATTCATCATTTAAGAAAGATAAAACGGGAGGGAAAGGGGAGTGGGCACCTGGAGGAGCAGCGAGTCTCTTCATGTGAATCCTATTTGGGCAGGAATGCCCCGCATGTGGGGCTTCCCAATGGGCCCGACACAGGGCTCCAGAACCTCAGCGCTGGCTGAGCTCTGAATCCACCCCCAGGCAGTTCAGCCCAAGCCAAGAGTTTTATGGTGCAAAAATGCGCTGCTACAGAGCCAGAGGCACAGCACAACACAGCAAAGTGGAGAGAAGCCAGAAGTCTGCAGCAGGGCAGGCGAGAAGAATGTACTTGCAGTGTTTGCCATTACGTTGTCAGCATAAAGACTCGCCTCTTTCTGTTATGTTTAGAGAGGAAATATGCACGACCAGACTGAATCCTATATGTTTCCAATGAAAATAAACTTCCATCGCCAGTGCCAACAGGAATTTACACAGGGCCAGGAGAAGTGAGCTCACTCTAATTAACCGACTGTGTGGCCTCACAGCATCCAGTGCCCTGAACGGACTCGCAGTGTGGAAGTCAGACAGCTCACTACGAAACGAATCGAATCGAATCGAATCGAGGAGTAAAAGTGTGCCTCGCTCCCTGCGGACTAGAACAAGGTTTGGAGGTTTTTCTTTCTTTTTTTTTTTTTGAAGAGTTACTCAAGTTCATACTGAACACTCCCTTTTTGCATGGGAATGCAGGCACTTTTAAAAACTACTCACTCTAACCCCACGTACCCATAATAAAGGAGTGCTCACTCAGAACGGCTGTAGGGAATACAGGGAAAATGACAAGGGTGGCAGAGACCTGCACTCACAGGCAAGAGGCTCCAAGACAAAGTGGGGAAATGGGGGGAAGGGAACTAAAGGTGGGGTGAGGCTGGTGACAGGCAAAAAGGGCAGGTTGGCCCTGTGACCAGGGGTTTCACAGGGCAGCCCTAGGCTGGGCAGAGGTCCCCAGGAGGAAGGCAGAGGGCTTGGCTCCCAGGCCACCGGCTCGGTTGGGAAGTGAACTCCGCCTTCCCTTCTTGCGGCTGACGCCTCCCTGACCCACAGACCACACAAAGGAGCGGGTCCCCCTCCAGGGCTGAGCCACCCCCAGCCTGGGGGCAGCCTTGAGCCCGAGATGACAGGAGCTTGGGGCAGCTCCAGCCTGGATTGGCTCTGAGCTCTGGCAGCTCCAGCCTGGGGTGACCCGGCCTCAAAAGCAAGCCCCCAGCTTTTGGGTTTCTTCTCACAGCTCTAAATGACACCTTCCATCTACCTGCCCCTCGCCGGGCAAGGGTTCACAATCACCTAACTTCCAGCAAGGCTGGAGAGGCGCCCCTTTCGGTCTCGGGGAGGTCCCCTTTCCTTTCCCCTCTTCTAGAAAGATAAGAAGGCATCTCCCAATCTCTGGGGAGGTGTCTGTAGTTCTGCTCCTGCCAGTAGCAGGGTCTTCACTGCAGCTCCCACCCTGAGGCTGGAGGGCACACAGGAGCTGGGGGAACCGAGAGAAGGGGATGAGACGGAGAGAAGCGGCTGAGAACGGCGGGGATGAGAATGGTGGGTGATATGGGCGGCAGGGGTGGGAAGGTTGAGTGGATGGAGAGGCGCACAGGTTGAGGGATGGACAGGTGGAGGGCGGAAGCACAAACCCTAGCCTGAGCACGAAAAATTCCCTAGCTGCTGGAGTCCACAGGTGGGGAGGAATGCAGGATCTCAGCCTTCCCCCACCTCCTCCCAGAGCCCAGGACGGGAATCAGACTCTAAGCTCCCCCAGAGGATGGCTGTTAGCTTTACGGCTCCCCCGCCCCCGACATAAGAGCCCAACTCCTCTAGCCTTGGTTCCCGCCTCGCCACGGATCCGCAGCCCCTGCCGGCCCGGAGGGCAGAGAGGCCCCATCCCGCCCCCGGCGCTGGTGTCCGCCAGGCGGCGCCCTTCCACTTGCAGAACTGCGGCGCGGGACGCTTCCCCCGGCACTGCCGTCCCCTACCCAGCCCCCGGGCAGCTGACCCCAGGCCGCCCTTCGGGAAAGGCTGAGAGGGGCTGAGTGCGCGTTTGGCTCGACCCCTCTTTTAACCCAACAGGAAAGCTGGGCAGAAGGGGAAGACGCTCGGCCCGGGACTGTGCACTGGGACTCCCAGTGCAATGCTCCCCGCGGGGTCCTGGCCGCCGACTCCCGCCCTGTCCCCCAGCCCCACGGCGCCCGGGCGACTCACCTTCTCCCCGGTCAGCACGTGCAGCCCCTCGCGCACCTTGGCGAAGGAGCCCTCGCCCAGTTTCCTGCTGCCGATGAGGTAGTTGCCCACGCGTTTGTGGTGCTGGAAGTCGCGGAGCCGCTCGCGGGGCACGCCGCTCACCCAGGCCGGCAGGAAACTTCCCTCGCAGGCCGCCGCCGGCCTGGCCGCGTCCTCCGCGCCGCCGCCGCCGCCCCCAGGCGCCGCCGGCTCCCCCAGGAGCCCGTCCCCTGCCGCCGCCGGCATCGCGCTCGCCCGCGGCCCGCGCGGCTCAGGCTGGGCTCTCGCGCTCGCAGCTCCTCCTCCTCAGGCTCCTCGGCTCCCCCGGCTCCTTCGGCTTCTCCCGCCGCCGCCCTGGGCCCAGCCCCGCCCGGGTCTCCGCACCCCGCGCCCGGGGCCGCCGCGATCACGCCCCCCGCGCCGCCAAGCGTGGCGCGCAGACAATAGCGGCCGCCCAGGGGACGCGGGAGCGGGGACCCCGCCCCCAAAAGTTCTTCCTCGGAGGGTCGCCCGGGCCCCTTTCAGGACACCAGGATTCCGCCCCGGGTCCCGTCCAGGAGGCTAATGACAGTCGTCCTGCTCGGGCGCGCGGGATGGGGCGCGGTCCGGCCGCGCCTGGGTCCCGGGGTCCGGGTGCCTGGGTGCCTGGGTCCCGGAGCCCGAGCGCCTCCGCCTCGCCGCCGCCGTCTGGCCCGCACGGGCTCGGGTCCGGCTCCTGCGATCGCTCCTAGCCGTGCGCTGGGCGGCAGCTCCCGCCGAAGAGAAGCGCGCGGCGGGCTGCAGGCGCCCTCTGGAAGGCAGCAGAAGAAAGCCCCATTCAGTTTGAATTTGCAGAAATTTAATCCGGTCGCGGGCGGCGGGAACAGATGCGAGCTCCACTCCGCAGCCCGTGCACTTTCAAATTCCTAGTAGCCCCTCCTTCCCCGCGCGCCACAGTCAAACTCGACCCTCGCTCGAGAGGGGAGGGCCCGGGGAGGGGAGCGGCGGAGTGGACGCAGGAGCCACCTGAGCGCCAGACTGGGAGATCCTGCGCGGCCTCGGAGGCGCGCGCTCCCGGGCCGCCCAGGTCGGGCCGCCTCCGGCTGCGCCTCTCGCCCGGATTCTGGGCTTGGGTTTTCTGGACCTTTCGGCGGTGAAATCCCCCACTGGCCGCACCCACCCGGGGCGGGGGAAGGGTGAAGGCTCTCGAACTCCGTTGACTGTGAATCGGGTTGCGTGCCCGGCCCTGGGTCCGGCACACAGTAGGGCCCCCTGGACCTGGGGTGGAAGGATAGATGGATGGCTAGAAGAAAGGGTGGGGAGGTGGCCAGGCGTCTGCCTGGGCTCGCACGCAGGCTGGTTGGCTGTGTTGGAGGAGGTGCAGCCACAGCAATAATAGTAGCAGCAGCAACGTAGGAACCAGGGCGTTTGCTGCCTCTGCTTGTAGCTTACACCTTCTTTGCCTGCCGTTGAAATGATGCCCGTGATTGCAGGAGGTGGACCGGCGCTCGCCTTTCTTCGATGCTTTTGTTCTACAAACGCTATGACCGTGCTTATCCATAAACAATTGCAACTGCCCTGACGACACTGGTACCTCTCCAGGATCCCCAACATCTTCTCAAACCGAAAATGAAGAATCTTGTGAGGGAGAAGCAGGAGGGTAGGTAGGAGGAGGCATTTACAAAATGCTACCTGTTGAGGTACCCGCATTTGATGGAAACTTCACCCCGATCGTGCAACATCAGAGCTGAAAGGAAGGATTGGGTCCTAACAAAGTTCCTTTCATTGTTTATTCCTGAGTAAACAAGTATGGCATCGACCCATAGCACTGCTTTGAGATTGGGGGTGGGGGATATGGGGGTAACAACAGCTGTCATCAATCCAGTGTCTGGGGGGCTCGCTGACCCATCTGAAGAGGGACCCAGAGAAACGCCTGCTTTCAATAGGTCTAATTTTAAATACGCTACTATATTCATCTACCTGCCTGTTCCAAGTCACCAGCCTCAGTTATTATGACAGAACCTGTGTTTTCTGTTGTTCTGTCTCATTGTTCCCGTTTACCAATATTAAGGATACAGCTTAAAATGTTTTTCTTGCTTTGCTTAAGGGACTTCTTTGCTCCCACCACCCTTGACTATTTCAGTAAGGTTCATTCAATCCTTTTAATGTCTCTAATTCAGTAATCAAATCTTAAGAGGACAGTTGCATGGGAGGGGAATGGTGACCAGCATGGTGCCAGCAGAATAGATGTCCAGCAACTGTCTAAAGAATGAGGAATATGGAGCTCACTTTGGGGTCAAAACCACTCAGGCCGGGTGCAGTGGCTCACGCCTCTAATCCTAGCACTTTGGGAGGCCGAGGCAGGTTGATCACGAGGTCAGAAGTTCAAGACCAGCCTGGCCAAGATGGTGAAACCCTGTCTCTACTAAAAATACAAAAATTAGCCAGGTTTGGTAGTGGGTGCCTGTAATCCCAGCTACTTGGGATACTGAGGCAGAGAATTGCTTGAATCCAGGAGGTGGAGGTTGCAGTGAGCCGAAATCTTGCCACTGCACTCCAGCCTGGGCGACAGAGCAAGACTCGGTCTCAAAACAAACAAACAAACAAAAAAACACTCTGAATCTTCCATCAGAAACAGTTTGGGAGTCCACCCAATGTTGTGTTAATAGAGTATTTTTTTTTAATGTTAGGACATGCATTGTTTATGAAAATTTAGAGATTTATTTATTAAGGTTTAAGGCAAATTTCAGAGACTTTTCCCCAAAGTATCTTTATGGTCTAAAAAAAAAATTTCATAAAAATGGTGGATGACGTTCACAATGAAATAGAGATTTTCTTTCCTTTTAATTATCCTCTCAGGGTAGAGGTCAGGAAAGGGGTGAAGAAGAGAGAAAATCCAGGCCCATTAAATCTTTTTCAAGCCTGCTGCCTGGGTTTGATTCAAGTTCACTGCTAATTCCATAAGCTGGGATGGATGCCAAAGAGAAGTTCAAATCCTACCCTTGCGTCCCCTTTGTAACTGATTTTTGAACTACAAGTCCTAGTCTCTGAAATGGCCTGTTTAACAAGATATCACCCCAGAAATGTCTTTATGTAAAACAAATTGGTACACAATATATTGCCCTCATATTCAGTGTGCAGAAAGCATCTGATTATTCAATGCGACAGTAATGCAACATTGAAAATTCTCTGTTAATCAGCCCAAACTAAATTTCTAGCCTTATTCTCCTGCGGAGTTCCCGGGTTGGGGGTGGGGGTGGGCGCTATATTTCAGCTGTCTTTGGCTGGGATCGAGCCTCCGTACTGTCACACCTTTGCCTGTGCCTTGCCCACCCCCAATCTGCTGTCACCAACTCATTTCCACCTAGCACAGGTGTTCCCTTTCCCATGAAGCCCTCCCCAACCAATAAGCTACAAGAAGCCCATCTGCCTCTGTTGTCTCTTATTTCGTATAGTCATTTCACATTCCCCTTATGTCCTGTAGTACTGATTATCCATGTCTCTCTTCTCTTTTAGACTCATTGAGGACAGGAGCTGTGTCTAATTTCATTATTATTTACCCTACAGCACCTAGCACAGTGTCTGAGACATGATCATTGTTTAGTATATATTTGTTGAATAAATGAATGAAAGTAATCATTCACTGATTCTGAAGTGGAGTTTTACTACTCCTGAGAGCAAGACCCCGTCTAGTCCTGGGGGAGACAAGTTACCAGTGACTTTCTAAAAGCATTTTTAGTTGCATTGTTGGTTGCCTTTGGGGATCAACAAATATAATTGTTTGTCTTGTCAAAGATGGGTCATTCTCTAACTTGGATGAGTTAACCCTTTCAGAAACAGGACCAATCCCAGTGGGCTGTGAAGCCTGGGGAAGCTTTCTCAGTTGACTTGTACCAGCTGCTTCCTTCCTTCCCTTTTCCTTCCCCATCTCCTTGCCCCATATGGCTGGGAGACTGCCTCTGTGCTCTCACAGAACGCCAGCTAGAAGACCCAGCTGGAAGCAGTCAAAGACAATTAGAAGTAATCAGGCTGGCACAGCCAGGAAATGAGAGTTGGCTAGAAGGGGTTAGGCTGGCAGAAGCCGGCTGGTAACTGGAGAAGGAACGGATGGCAAAGCAAAGACGGCAGACATGGATCAACTTCGCCTGAAAAACATCCTGTGAACTCTATATGTTCATGTTCCCAAAACAAAGCGTCCCGTAAATAACAGACTGGACTTGAACCCGTGTCCCCAGAGTTCATGTCAAGCATTATTCTTTTACAACACCCAGCTGTTGAATGTGCACAATGCAACGGCTGAGGAAGAAAGGGTTCCTCGGGCAGAAAGACTCATGTGCAAAGGCAGCCCAGTGTGCTATTGCAGAGTAGGCTGCATCCCCACAATGAAACGTTTCTCTAAAAACGAGTCATGACACTTACCTTTTGGTGCTTCAGTTTCCTTAAGCTGCAAAAATGGGATATTAAGGAATTGTATGGAGTCAATCAGATTATGCACACAAAGCGCTCAGATCAGTGCCTGACACCTTATAAGTACTAGGCGAATTTTGGCTTTCACACCTTCCGTCAGTACAACTATCATCATCATAAACTAAGAGAAGTCACTCAAGAATGCCCCAGAGGTCCACCAGCGCAACTGCCCTGGTAACTGATGAATCCAAAAGCATAATCTCCAGGTTGGATCTCTTCCCTGAAACCAGAGTCCTGTGGTCAACCCTCTGTACTTCTGTACTTCTTTCCTAAAGCTTCACCCAAATTCACCCCAAAATTTAGCAGTCATCCTTTGCTTCCTCTGCTTCTCGATCCTCATATCCAACCCAACAGCAAATCCTATACCCACCTGTGACCCTTTCTCTCACTTCGTAAGTGGCATCCTTTGCTTCCACGCCAAAACCAAAACCAGTTCTTCAAAATGGGAATCAGTAATCCCAGCACTTAAGGAGGCCAAGGAGGGAAGATCACCGGAGGTCAGGAGTTCAAGTTCAACCTGGTCAACATGGCGGAACCCCATCTCTACTAAAAATACAAAAACTAGTCGGGCATGGTGGTGGGCACCGGTAATCCCAGCTACTTGGGAGGCTGAGGCAGGGAGAATTGCTTGAACCCCGGAGGTGGAGGTTGCAGTGAGCCAAGATCATGCCATTGCACTCTAGCCTGGGCGACAGAGCAAGAGTCCATCTCAAAAAAAAAAAAAAAAGGGAAACGGATCTTATCACTTCCCTACACTCGAAAGCTGTTCAACAGACCCCTGCAGAAAAGATTCCCCAAACATTTTATCATGATATGGCCCTGCCTCCCTCTTTACTGTCACCTCCTGGGAGCCAGACACCAAGCTCTTCCCGCTTCAAAGCCTTTCCTTCTGTGTCTTGGTCCGCTCAGACTGCCATAACGAAACACCTAGACTGGGCGGCTTAAACAACAGACATTTCTTTCTCGTGGTTCTGGAGAATCCAAGATTTAGGTTCCAGCAGATAGGTATATATAAAGATTTACTCTCAGGAGTTGACTCACATGATGATGGAGACTGAGGAGTCCAGAACGAAAGTGCTAGCAGATTCAGTTCCTGATGAAGGCTCTCCTCCCGGCTGACAGACGAGTGCTCTCGCCAAGTGCTCTCGTGGCAGAAAGACACACAGCCCTGGTCTCTTCTTCTTTTTATAAGGACACCAATCAGATCATGAGGGTCCCACTCTCATGCCCTCAATTAAGCCTAAATGCCTTCCGAAGGTCTCACCTTCAAATATCGTCGCATCAGAGGTCACAGCTGCAACGAATGAACTTGGGCCGGAGGGATACAAACATTCAGTTCATGACACTCTGCCAACAACATGCTTCTTCAACATCGCTGAAGTTTCTCACTTCATTCAGGGCTCTGCTCTCTCAATCAGAAAATGAGAAATCAGGCAGACTGTCCCAGGGTCCCTAATCGCCACGTTCAACTTTTCATGTCATTCATCATTAGCTAACAGAAGAATGTACATTCACTTGTTTATGTGTTCATTCTCTCCTCTCTCTCTCTCTCTCTCATTTAATGTCCATGAAGCGGGGGACTTTGTATCCCAACACCCATGCATGCCTGGTACACTGTACACGTTCAGCAATGGCAATGCGGAGCTTCATCTCAACTCTTAATCTGTCCGTGTGGGAGAGGAAAGAGTTGCTGGACTTTGTGTGGTTGTGGCACTGCAGCATGATGGTGTACGGATGGTGACACCAGGCCAACCTCCTGCAGCTGCTTGCCAGCAGCCACTGAGCTGATATTCAAGAAGAAAAAGGTGCATTCTTCAAACAAGATGTTGATGGCTTCTCACAGGACTCATCACAGTTGTACCTCCGTTGGTCTCCAAAAATGGAATATAACGGCTATTTCAGTAAGAAAAATGTACCTGCCACCTTCCAACTAAGATGGGCCCAGGGCTTTAGGACATCTTGGTGTGTGGACTCTTCCTCTAAATCCCAGATAAGGCTATTGAGAAGGAATGGAATTTTAAATATTCTATAGGAAGAGGCCATCACACATACTGATCTTGACCATTTCCCCTTGTATGCACGTCTCATTCAAAAGTGGCTTCCCATCTTACATTGACACCAACATCATCCCTGTGGCCCTACGAGGCCCAGCACAATCTGCTTCCCACCCTCCAGGGCTCATCTCTCTTCCCTCTTCCCATCATGGCTCTGATCTCACCTCCCCCTATTCACTGCCCTCCAGTCACACTGACCTGTGTGTGGGACCCACTCCCTCAGGGGACTCTTTTTATTTTTTTGGAATATTGTTCCAAGAAATATCTACAGAGCTGGCTTCCTCATCATCTTCCGGTCTTTGCTCAAATGTCACTTTCTCTGTGGGCCTTTTCTCTGACCTTTTCTCTCTGATGCCAATTTCCCCTGGGCTACGCCCCATCCCCCTGTACCCCACCTCCTTATCCCCTTCCCTGCTTTATTTTCCTTCACAGCACTTGTTGCCATCTGACAAATTACATCATTTCCCTCTTTGTTGTGCTTGTTGTCTGGCTCCTTCCCTAGAATGTCTGCTCCATGAGGGCTGGGACTTTGGTTAAGTCCACTATGCATGGTGCCTGGTCCCTGGGGAGTGCTCAACACAAATTTGTTGTGGTTGACTAAATTTGTGATTCACAGGGTCTCTCGTTGCAGAAGCAGACGACCATAATAAATGAGAAGGCAGAAAGGAGAAACGCAACAAAACCGGGTCCTGCTGGAGAAA